ACAGTACATTTTATTATATTAATAAGGCCGATATATACACATTAGTGAAAAGCAATAATGCAACGTTATTTACTATTACAAATAAAACTAATTTAGCATTTTATGTAAATACGGTGATTCAGATTATTTGTATAGAAAATAGTTTCAGTAAGCGGTGAGCAGGGACGTTGAAATAAGTTAAATACGTTTGCTAGTGGTGAGCACAGACGTTAAGATAAATATGTTTGCTAGTGGTGAACAGAGACGGTGAGATAGGTTAAAATAGGTTTGGTGAGAGTTAAGAGTCGAGAGAGTAGCTGCTGTCAGTTATAATGGCAGATTATTTTTATATGGAATCGCTAAACTCGAAGAGGTTATCCAACGCTTTGGGAACGCGATGGATTCACTATTCTTCTCAAACTCCCTCCCTCCCTCTCTCTCTCTCTCTGACAATAACATGTCATAAAACACATCAACAGTTTAGTTCGCTCCTGCATCCCAATTTCCATTACATTACGTAATGGGTCTGGGAATTGAGGGAACGAGTAAATTGGAAGAACAACTGGCTGAAACTGTGTTGCTTAAATAACTGGATGTGGCACAGCAAGAGCAAGACGAGTAGAGGCTCTCTTTGCACTGCAACCCACTGTTGTAAATACAAAATCTCAATGTACTCACGAAATCGTAATGACACGATTGCAAGCAAACCATACCACGGGTGGGGTTTGATCCCGCGGGATCAAACCCCACCCGTGGTATGGCTTGTTTCTCAATGTACTGTTTGCAAAGACATAAAATAAATAAAGTGCAGTTGTGGCAACCATATGCGCACTACTTGTTGAGGCCTACTGGACGACACGAGGCTTGTTAAGGCAACATTTAACTTAAACACTAACATCAAATATAATTTAATCCCCCCAAAAAGCCATTAAAATAAACCTATCATGTATATACACCGAGAGATATACACGCCTAGGTATATACAGAATAAACACCTGGGCTCAACAAGCAAAAAAAAAAAAAATGAGCAACACAATTCTTGAAGTGTTCGCTCATACTGCTGTACGTCAAGGTAAGCAGTGTTTTGCAATGACTCGCTCAAATTTGTTGCTTAGGCAGTGACTATTGCACAGATCTTTATTTGCTCATCCTCATGCCCCTCAAAATGCGCACTGGCTTGCCGTGAAATTAAAAAATACAAGCTGAGCACCTCTTCTCCCCCCCCCCCCCCACACACGATAACGCGCTCATGGAGCATGGAGAAAGTGGACCTAATAGCGACTAGCGAAAAAGGCGGGGTCAGGAGCTGTGATTCGACCCCTGCAACCACAAATAAGTGAGTACACACATATTGAGAATGGCGTAGTAGTAGAGGCAAAGTCTGAACCAAAATTGTTTCATAGCCATATCAGAAGACGACTGTAAAAGATCATGTAATTCAGCCAAGAAGGAAGGATGAGAGCTTATGAAAACTGACAAGGAAGTTTGTGAAGATATTCATCAAACGATTTAAAGAGGTCTTTTCAGTGGAAGCAGGGAAAATACAGAAAGCCTAGGGAACATGGTACACCAACAGTACTAAACAACATACACAGAACAGAGTAAGAGGTCAAGAAACTTTTGATGGACGTGGATACATCAAAAGACATGACAAGGTGTCGCCATGGATTCTCCAAGAGGAAAATCATTGTCCAAACACTAGCTAAAACAAGTCAATGGATATGGTACAGTTGCTAGAGATCTGGAAGACAACACATGTAGTCCCCATACTTAAAAAACGCTGACAGACGCGTTGAAATAGAGACCAGTTTCTCTGATATGTATACTATGCAAGGTAATAGAGAAGATAATCAAGAGAGAAGCAGAACACCGGGAGAGATGTGGTTTTACAAACAATAAGAGCACGGGTTCCAAGATGGCATATCTGAGCTTACCAATCTATTGTTCTACAATAGAGTAATAGATGTGAGACAAGACAGAGTGACAGGTTGTTGCTGTTCTATTGTATTGACAAAGCACCAGAATCTTTTGTTTATTCAGTGCTTTAAATATATTCCGCTTTTAACATGTAACAAACTTACACTATCAATACCAACTAGCTACTGTCGTTACCAATTATCTCATAATACATAAATAAAAACCACAATACAAGTAAACCAACTTAAAATCTATATTTCACATAACGAAATCCAAGTCCATAAAATATCAATGTCATCGGCCAGGAGTGTGAGCAAATTTAGATGAAAGAGGAAATATCCCCACCATTTATGCCGAAAGAGTTGCTGGGTTTCGCAAGTAATCTACAGGAAGAGTGGCAAGCCTTCGCAGAGGACCTCCCTATCACTAGGAATAAACTACAAACCTCACCACCGTGTTAAGGTGACTCAGCGTCGAGAAACAAAAGGGATGGGCGGAATGCATTTTCGTAGACTACTCTAAAGCATCTGATAAAGTTCCCTCCACGAACTTGGAAAAGTGCTAGATAACTCATTACAACTGTGACCAGGTGTGGACGTGTCAGTGGCTCATTACTTTGTAATTTGTTCATGATCGTAACCATGTATAGGAGTGTAGATGGTTCATTATTACCGTTGTAACGTCACGATTGTGACCTGATCTACCTGGAGTTCATTACCTTTGTAACTAGTTCAGTTATCATAACTTTGGGGTCCAGTCCCTGGACCCATTTTGTACCTCTGTAATCTTTTGACTACCGCCCACAGGATGGGTATGGGGTGCATAATAAAGATATTAAACTAACTAGGTGCAGGCAGGAATATCAGGGAAAGTACTCTGGTGGATCAATGAGTACAGTGGGAATGGAAACAAGAAGTTATTGTCGGGGAAGGGATATCAATAGATAAGAGAACAATCAAGGCTCGGTATTAGGACCAGTGATGTTTATAGTTTATGTGAATGCCATTCCAGGTGGGATTAAATCATATATATTCCTGTTTGCTGGTGATGTAAAACTAATAATAATAAAAACAGATGAGGAAAGAGGACATGCTCCAAATAGATCTAGACAAACCTTATGACTTATCAGATAAGTAGATGCTTGAATTCAACCCAGGCAAATACCAGATAATGAAGAGTGAGGAAGGAGCAAGACCGTACACGGAGTAAAAACTCGATCTAAAGAGGCTGCAGTTCTCACAAAGACATAGGGGTGAGAACAGAGCCCAGTTTTATGCCAAAGGCTCATATCAACCGAAAAAACTCAGCAGCCAAAGCTCGGCTAGCAAATATAAGAGTGGCCTTCAGGAATCTCAACAAAGATTCATTCCGGGCCCTTTATATATATGTCAGGCTCAGTATGGAACGCATGTCAAGAAACTGAAGCAAGTATACAACGAAGCTTGTTCCAGAACTAAGTGGTACGAAATAAAAGAAGCTAACAAAATTTAATCTAACGACACTGGAGGACAGAAGAACCAGGAAGACATGATAATAACATGCAAAATACTCAAGAGAAATTGATAGGGTGGACAGGGACAGGTTGCTTGAGATTAAAGAAACAGATATTCGGGGACACAGCTGGAAGTTAATTAAAGAAACAGATGAGCCACATGGATATCAGGAAGTATTTTTTTCATTCTCAGAGTGATCAGGAAGTAGAATGCTCTCGATGAAGAAGTGGTAGAGGCAGGCTTCACATACAGTTGTTAAGAGCAGATTAAACAGACCCACAAGGCTAGGAGGGAGTGAATCTAGCAAGCTCAGAGTCCGGGTCAGGAGCTAAGACTCGACCCCTGCAGCCACATATAGGTGAGTATACACACACACACACACGTGAGTATACACACACACACACACACACAAGTGAGTATACACACACACATACTGACATATTTAACAAATAGTGTCTATTAACAACACCTCTGAAAATGGTAATTACTGCACACTACTTGTCACTAAGCAAAGTCTTCTCCATTGTGTCTATGCCAGTAGTCTCATAACAGTGTTGAAAACTTTATGGATATCTGAATGGCCAAGACTTAGCGCTTTCTATAGTAATAATAATAATAATAATAATAATAATTACAGCCCGCAGTGCTCCTTGTTTATAACTTTGAAATATTCTCAAATACGCTAAGAATCAAAGTAGACTCACCATATTTATATCCTGGGGTATGACGTCATTTCTTATTTAGAGGTAAAGTTTAGTCAGTATTGTTGTGATGAGTAAGTCTGGTGATGTAAATTATTATGATAATAAAAAATAAGTTCTTAACCCACAAAGGTCATACAGCGCCCGGTGATGTAATGTTTACTGCCAATACTGTGGTGATGAGTAAGTCTGGTAATGTAAAGTCTATACTCAGTATTGTGGTGATGAGTAAATCTGGTAATGTAGTCTATACTCAGTATTGTGGTGACGAGTAAGTCTGGTAAAGTCTATGGTCAGTACTGTTGTAATGAGCAAGTCTGGTGATGTAAAGTCTAAGTATGGTCAGTATTGTTGTGATGATTAAGAGTGGTAATGTAAAGTCTAGGGTCAGTACTGTTGTGATGAGTAAGTCTGGAGAGTTTCTCATGCTCACCTTCCATCATGCGGGTAGTGGGGTATGGGTGTTGAAGTTGGTGAAAAGGGCTCTTGATCCAAGAAAATAGTTACCCCACCACTTTCTTGGATCAAACTCGATTACCTCCAATTTCCTATGTGCTTTATGACCCTTACAGGTTTAGTGCATCCCATGATTATAATAATAATTACTTCTCATTTAGTTAATTCGTTTAATATCTTTATTATGCACCGCCATACCCATCCTATGGGCGGTAGTCCACAGGATGGGTATGGGAGTGACGGATACAGCGTACGTAAGAACTATCGAATTAAGCAACAGCAGAAGCAATAGTAATAATAATAATAATGCAAAGGGGTGAAGATGTAGTTTGGAGGACCATCTGACAGCTATTGCCTGAATGACGGTGAATGTGTTTCCTCTCTTTTGGGGGTCACTACCTCAGCTGGTGGCGGCCCATATTAAAATACTACTACTACTAATAATAAAACTTACCTTCATACTGCAATTTCTTCACAAATGCTTCAATTTCGTTAACGGAGATGTCATGGTTGGAGGTGGTGTGGTACTCGTGTGAGAGACTGGCAGCTTGGCCAGCAGGTACCAACAGTAGAAGAGCTGCTATATACACCAGTCTGGGCACCCAACACTCTCCATTTGCACAACCACTGGGAACACCTCCTCGCCATACATGCCCCATCCTTAGTCCTGACAGTCCTCGTACTATTGGGGAAAAATGATTTTGGTATTGTCAAAAATTTTATACGCTGTATTACATTGTGTTTGATGCCAATGAAAAGTTCTTAATACAATAAAATGCAGCTGACTTCCCTTTCGTTGGATCAAAACTTACTAACAAAATAAACAAAGCAATTTCATTTTCCAAATACAGACCTACAGAAATTGTTACAAAATTGAGCTACATTTATTTCATATATTGTGAAAAGTGGCTGGTTATGTAGGGTATTTCGATTATTATTATTATTATAATAAAAAAGAAGCGCTAAGCCACAAGGGCTATACAGCGCTGCAGGGCAGGAAGGAAGCGAGGGCATCAGGTGGCAGGGTATTTCGAACAGACTAAGATGAGATCTTACAAGTACTGGAAATTATTTAGTTGAAGAGTTAAAGTTAAAATTTTAGAATCCTAAGTTTAATATTGCTAACTGATCCGACAAGATTATTGATATTATCATTACTACAATCAAAACTAAGCGCTAAATCCACAACATTTGTAATGATAATTTTAATTAGTAATACCGTATATTAAATCAGTAATATTGTTAAGTAGTGATAGTAATGTAAAACGGTACTTGTGGCTCCGTTGGTAGCGTCCTCAGCTCATACACAGATGGGATCACTCCCCGGCTCGGGAGAAATGTTAAACAATACAAATAACATTATTATTATACTAATATTATAATTATTATCATCACTTGACGACTAATTCATTCATGCAATGAACCTCTGACATGTTCCTAACATCACCGGCCTACCATCAGAACACACACTGAAGCAACGATTATTTTCCAATGCTCATTTCCTTGATCAACAAATCTACAGCCTTAGAAATATCTTCCAGCAGAACCAAACAACCTTCTGTATCTCTGGGTCCTGGATAACACATGTACATACATCATGAGTTCAGCATCGCCACTAAACATTGGATGATTCATCAACTGTTCTTTGATATTATTTGATGTTATAGATGAACGAACGAATCATATTTTTCAACTTTGTAGTATTATCATGTTTCATTAACTAGGTGCAGCTGTACCTATTATTAGTGGCTTGCTAAAATAACTCCGGAGAAAACTAATTACGTTTACCTTCCAGCGAGCACTACTAGTGTTGACCGTAACTACAAATATTTGAGTAAAATGCATTGTTGGTTTCAATACATGTGCAAACGTTTTTATTACGGCAATCTAACATTTTTTTATTAATATGCTGCAAGACAGCTAATGTATCCACAGTTGTCAGGATATCAAACATGTGTATGATACCAGGGTCATCAAGGCTACATATAGCCTACTCGCCTCCACTCAAAAATACTTTAATCTCTTAAAAAAAAGGTATGAAATTAACCTCTCAATGTATATACATCACGAGACATATACACTTCTCAGTCTTTATACACCAAGAAGCACACATTGTGTATTACGCTGTGAAGCATACATCGTGTATTACAGAGAAGCATACACCGTGTATTACACAGAGAAGCAAACACCGTGTATTACAGAGAAGCAAACACCGTGTATTACACAGAGAAGCATACACCGTGTATTACAGAGAAGCATACACCGTGTATTACACAGAGAAGCAAACACCGTGTATTACAGAGAAGCATACACCGTGTATTACACAGAGAAGCAAACACCGTGTATTACACAGAGAAGCATACACCGTGTATTACACAGAGAAGCATACACCGTGTATTACACAGAGAAGCATACACCGTGTATTACACAGAGAAGCATACACCGTGTATTACACAGAGAAGCAAACACCGTGTATTACACAGAGAAGCATACACCGTGTATTATACAGAGAAGCATACACCGTGTATTACAGAGAAGCATACATCGTGTATTACACTGAGAAGCATACATCGTGTATTACAGAGAAGCATACACCGTGTATTACACAGAGAAGCATACACCGTGTATTACACAGAGAAGCAAACACCGTGTATTACACAGAGAAGCATACACCGTGTATTATACAGAGAAGCATACACCGTGTATTACAGAGAAGCATACACCGTGTATTACACTGAGAAGCATACACCGTGTATTACACTGAGAAGCATACACCGTGTATTACACTGAGAAGCATACACCGTGTATTACACAGAGAAACATACACCCTTTATTACACTGAGAAGCATACACCGTGTATTGCACTGAGAAGCATACACCGTGTATTACACAGAAAAGCATACACCATGTATTACACAGAGAAGCATACACCGTGTATTACACAGAGAAGCATACACCGTGTATTACACAAAGAAGCATACACCGTGTATTACACAAAGAAGCATACATCGTGTATTACATTGGAATCGTTCAAGACTCTTTACACCATATACGTCAGGCCCATATTGGAGTATGCAGCACCAGTTTGGAATCCACACCTGGTCAAGCACGTCAAGAAATTAGAGAAAGTGCAAAGGTTTGCAACAAGACTAGTCCCAGAGCTAAGGGGATCGACCTATGAAGAAAGGTTAAGGGAAATCGGCCTGACGACATTGGAGGACAGGAGGGTCAGGGGAGACACGATAACGACATATAAAATACTGCGAGGACACAGAAACAAGGGGTCACAATTGGAAGTTGAAGACTCCTATAAGTCAAAGGTATGTTAGGAAGTATTTCTTCAGTCATAGAGTTGTCAGGAAGTGGAATAGCCTAGAAAGCGACGTAGTGGAGGATGGAACCATACATAGTTTTAAGACGAGGTTTGATAAAGCTTATGGAGCAGGGAGAGGACCTATTAGCAAACAGTGAAGAGGCAGGGCCAGGAGCTATGAATCGACCCCTGCAACCACAAATAGGTGAGTACAAAGAGGTGAGTACAGAGCATACATCGTGTATTACACAGTGAAGCATACACCGTGTATTACACAGAGAAGCATACACCGTGTATTACACAGAGAAGCATACACCGTGTATTACACAGAGAAGCATACACCGTGTATTACATAAGCATACACCGTGTATTACACAAACTTACACCGTGTATCACAGAAACATACACCGTGTATTACACAAACTTATACCGTGTATTACACAAACATATACCGTGTATTACACAAACATACACCGTGTATTACACATACACCGTGTATTACACAAACATACACCGTGTATTACACAAACATACACCGTGTATTACACAAACATACACCGTGTATTACACGAACATACACCATGTACTACACACAGGCATATTATACACATCTCGATCACAAATAGAATATAACTTTTATGAACAAACTTTTTACAAATATAAAATATACGAAAAGTTGTTTCAGCACAAACTGCTCGATGGAGCCACCTTCCATTTCCTTGGATTAAACGTAATTACCTCCCATTCCTCAGGCGCTGTATGACTTACGTTTATATCAATTTGTTGACTTTGTTCATTACCACTGCTTATTAACACATTATTTTGCACCAAATTTCATCATTACACCAACATATCCAGTTGTCTTGTTATATTATTTTCCTCCCACAACACAACTCACAGCAGCATGTGGTAAGTTTATTGCGATCACACCATCAGTTGTGTGATAGTAGATGAAGTACGAGCTACAATGACAGAAGAGCTAACATTCTCACTGGCAGCTAACAGTGTGACAGTGTGTGACAGAAGAGTTAACATCCTTACTGGCAGCTAACAGTGTAACAGTGTGACAGAAGAGCTAACATGCTCACTGGCAGCTAACAGTGTGACAGAAGAGCTAACATCCTTACTGGCAGCTAACAGTGTGACAGTGTGACAGAAGAGCTAACATCCTCACTGGCAGCTAAAAGTGTGACAGTGTGTGACAGAAGAGCTAACATCCTTACTGGCAGCTAACAGTGTGACAGTGTGGCAGAAGAGCTAACATCCTCGCTGGCAGCTAACAGTGTGACAGTGTGACAGAAGAGCTAACATCCTCACTGGCAGCTAAAAGTGTGACAGTGTGTGACAGAAGAGCTAACATCCTTACTGGCAGCTAACAGTGTGACAGTGTGACAGAAGAGCTAACATCCTCACTGGCAGCTACAAGTGTGACAGTGTGTGACAGAAGAGCTAACATCCTTACTGGCAGCTAACAGTGTGACAGAAGAGCTAACATCCTCACTGGCAGGTAACAGTGTGACAGAAGAGCTAACATCCTCACTGGCAGCTAACAGTGTGACAGAAGAGCTAACATCCTCACTGGCAGATAACAGTGACAGAAGAGCTAACATCCTCACTGGCAGCTAACAGTGTGACAGAAGAGCTAACATCCTCACTGGCAGCTAACAGTGTGACAGAAGAGCTAACATCCTCACTGGCAGCTAACAGTGTGACAGAAGAGCTAACATCCTCACTGGCAGCTAACAGTGTGACAGAAGAGCTAACATCCTCACTGGCAGCTAACAGTGTGACAGAAGAGCTAACATCCTCACTGGCAGCTAACAGTGTGACAGAAGAGCTAACATCCTCACTGGCAGCTAACAGTGTGACAGAAGAGCTAACATCCTCACTGACAGCTAACAGTGACAGAAGAGCTAACATCCTCACTGGCAGCTAACAGTGTGACAGAAGAGCTAACATCCTCACTGGCAGCTAACAGTGACAGAAGAGCTAACATCCTCGCTGGCAGCTAACAGTGTGACAGAAGAGCTAACATCCTCGCTGGCAGCTAACAGTGTGACAGAAGAGCTAACATCCTCGCTGGCAGCTAACAGTGTGACAAGAGAGCTAACATCCTCACTGGCAGCTAACAGTGTGACAAAAGAGCTAACATCCTCACTGGCAGCTAACAGTGTGACAAAAGAGCTAACATCCTCACTGGCAGCTAACAGTGTGACAGAAGAGCTAACATCCTCACTGGCAGCTAGCAGTGAGCATCTTACACAAAATTTAGGTTACCGGTACGTCTTTCTCTTCGTGAATTTATGATTCAGTCAAATTACTAGTTACTATATTGAAAGGGCTGTTATCGTTCTCCCACATTTGTCAAGTCATGTAATGGGTATTGGGCACTTTTTTTCCCCTTTATAAAAGCTACGAGGTGTTAGTTATATGATGACCGTTCAGTGGAACTTTCGGTTCTTTGACTGCGGTCTTCAAGAAGTTAACCAATCCACCCAGTGAAAAAAAATTAAATACTATATCACATCATGTTTCATTAGTACTGTATTTGGAGAGTTGTCAAAAATTTAAGTCTTGTTAAGTAGTGAATAATTGGAATATAAAATTATTTACGGGTTAAAGGATTAAACATCTGTTATACGGCTATAACATTTCTATTACTACTTTTTTTTAATTTGTATGTAAGAGCAGTGAGTGACGGCCCTGAGTCTAGTGGTAAACAAGTGTGCCCTGGACAAACAGGTCTGGTGTGGTCTTTACTATCAAGGTTGTTGTGTACCTCACTAGTACTTCTCTTTCTACCTCTCTAGAGTGGCTTGCGCGTCAGGAAACAGGAAAGTAATTCCTGATGCGGGTCTCTAAATTAAGCAACCGCTGCTGTACTGATGCTGGTATCATTAATAATTAAGAAACCGCTGGTGTACTGGCGCTGGTATTATCAGTGATTAAGCACTGCTGGCTTACCAATGCTGAGTGTCATCAATGATTAGTTAAGCAACCGCTGGTTTACTGAGTGTATTGTAAATACCAGCGGTTAAGCATCCCTCTTCTTACGGAGATAGGATCACCTATTTACCAGTCAGTTCAAAAACCAGTGTATATGTTCAAGACATATGATAATCCTCTAAATAATAAGGGTTCAATTTTGTTGCTGCTCTTGACTTTAAAATAATAATAATGATGTTAAATGAACTTGGTGATATACATCCCTGTCAAAGGCCTACTTTTACTGGAAAATAATTCCCCCCTCTCCTACAAAGCTTAACCTGAGTCTCAATGTCCACTCAAATCTCTACTGCTTTTAGTAACCTACAACCAATTTCATACATTTGCAATATTGCTATCAAACCTATCTTATGGGTAACCCAAAAAAGCCAAGCAGTATGATTCATTTCCGGTAAGACTCTTGAATCCTCTTCATCAGGCTGTGACTCACAGCAGCCGACTAACGTCTAAGTACCTATTTAATACTAGGGGAACATGGGTAGCAGAAGCAAAGAGACTAGCCCATGTTTCACATCATTTGAGGATTGAACCAGATACTTCCGGTTGTAAGCCGAGAGCTCTAACCACTTAAGTCATTACAATGGACAAGGATTCGTGGTCTGCAAGTCCCTTATGTACAAACATGGAAACCTGGGATTAGCACACAACAGCAAGGACGTGAGGCAGTATTAATGTTGATCAGAACGGGTTACGACATGACACCAACCTTCACCTGGTAGGTGAAGAACAGCCTATTAATACCATGTAGCTCAGAGGTCAGAGCAGTCCACGCAGTAAGTTTATTTAGGTACATTTATACAATTTTAGATGATTACAATTGTCTTATTTCAAATGGGTTTTTTGATTATATCCATCGGAACCCTCGACTTATTTCCAGTGGGGTCTTTGGTTTATTTCCACTGGAGTACTTGCTTATATTTCCAAGCCCGGTGAAACGCGTGGAAAAGATTCCTTACCTCCCTGTACATCCTACAGTAAAAATAGGTACCTGTTGTAATCGACTACTGTGAACTGCATTGAGGAAAAACAGCTGTGTGTGTCTTTAGCCTTTCCGCGTGTAATCACCTGTCTGTATGTGGTTGCCGTTGTCGAGTCTCAGTTCCTGGTCCCGCCTCTTTGCTGGTCGCTACTTGATTCACTACTGGCTTCGAGAGCCTTATCGTACCTCTTCTTGAAGCTATGCATGGATGCAGACTACCATTTCACACTCCAGGTCGTTCCTGGCTACTCTAAAGTCCCTGTGACTCATCTGAATTTTCAACTTCCAGCTGTGCCCTCGTGTTCCTGTTTCGCACCTCCTAAACACACTGTCCCTATTCATCCTATCAATATCTTAGTACATTCTACTTTATCAAATCACCCGAAATCCTTCTGTCCTCCAGTGTCACACAGGTTAATTTCCCTTAACCTCTCTTTACAGACATACCCTTTAGTTCCGGGACTAGTCTCGTTGCAAACCTCTGCACTTCTCCAATTTCTTCACATGCTTGACCATGTTCTATCTAGGCTGGAATATTGCTGCACACTAACAGCACCTTTCAAGGCAGGTGAAATTGCTGACCTAGAAAATGTACAGAGAACCTTCACGGCGCGCATAACGGAGATAAAACACCTCAATTACTGGGAGCGCTTGAGGTTCCTGAACCTGTATTCCCTGGAACGCAGGCGGGAGAGATACATAATTATATACACCTGGAAAATCCTAGAGGGACTAGTACCGAACTTGCACACGAAAATCACTCACTACGAAAGCAAAAGACTTGGCAGACGATGCAACATCCCCCAATGAAAAGCAGGGGTGTCACTAGCACGTAAAGAGACCATACAATAAGTGTCAGGGGCCCGAGACTGTTCAACTGCCTCCCAGCATACATAAGGGGGATTACCAACAGACCCCTGGCAGTCTTCAAGCTGGCACTGGACAAGCACCTAAAGTCGGTTCCTGACCAGCCGGGCTGTGGCTCGTACGTTGGTTTGCGTGCAGCCAGCAGCAACAGCCTGGTTGATCAGGCTCTGATCCACCAGGAGGCCTGGTCACAGACCGGGCCGCGGGGGCGTTGACCCCCGGAACTCTCTCCAGGTAAACATACTGGTGCTGCATATTCCAATATGGGCCTGACGTACACCCTAGTGTCATGACTTTGCATAGATATCTAAAACTTACTCTTAGATTTGCCAAACGTGCATTTGCTTCAGTAGTTATTTGGTTGTGTGTGTTCTCTCTTACACGCGGGTGTATTGATAGGGTCAGTTTCTGGTCCCGCCTCTTCGCAGGGTGTTAGTTACCATCTGTCAAAGGCACTTGTCTATACACTTGGCCTGTTATGCATGCGTTCACATGTATGCATTCATGCGTATGCGTGTGCATGCAGGTGTGTGCGTACGTGCGCTGGATGGCAACCTCAACTGTGTTCTTCCTGAGCTTCGGATACAACTTTCTAATATAATGAAATTTATAAAGTAACGTGTATAATTACACGTTAATATTTTCAATGTTGACTAATGGTTTAAAATTATTATTTAAATGTCGCGACATTGATGGAATGAATGGATTATCTGTTAATTATTAAAGAAAGCTAAATACACGAATAATTCTTCACAGCAAACATGGAACAATGAACATATACAAGAAAGTTCTATTCAAATTCAATACAAAATATATAGTAACTTATGGGTAACTTAAACTAGGATAACACTTATCAATTCAAACAGTGACCTATTTTTTTTTCTAGTTTAATATCTTTCTTATTCACTCCATACCCGTAGTGTGGGAGGGAGTAAAAAATTTAGAGAGGTACATAATGGGTCCAGGGACTGGACTGCAAAGTTTTGATAACTGCACAAGTTACCCTGGTACCCTATATATTATTATTATTATAATCAAAAAAAGAAGCGCTAAGCCACAAGGGCTATACAGCAGGTACCCTATATAAGCTGGGGTTCTTGTGACTACGATACCTTAATGTCCTTGAGCAGGTGATCCAAGTACTGACTTGTCTTCTCGGCTAACTTCTTCAACCTTGTTATTCACTCTCTATATATATTATGAAAAAATAAAGTGTGCTTTTCTTTTACGCAATTCAGCTTTGTAAAGCTCACAAGAATGAAATAGTTTCTATCACTCAACACTTATAGAAAAATCAGTTAAATTCGCTCAGTATATATTAGCATCCAAAAGATTTATCTATTAAACAATAACTAGAAATCACAGTTCATTTCATGAAGAGAGAATTGGAGAGACACATCCAGCCTCCGCCGTGTCTGCGAGGTTACTGACGTTATTCTTGTTGGTTCCTGAATACCTGAAGGCTGGTCGCTGCTGCCGCTGCTGAACGATACTTTAAGATAAATCTGGTAATTTCTCAAAAAAACAAAGCTTAATTTTTAAGCAACTGACTTTACTTATTTTTCACGGTATACAGTATTAACTAATTATTTTAACAGCTAAGTATTTAGCTTAACGTATTAAAATATGAGCAGTGAACAAGCTGACAAATCATACATTTAGGAAAATATTAATTATGTAACTTTATACCTGTCAAAGGAATTGATGTACAATTGCTATGGATCCCATCACACATTGGATTACTCCTTCATGATAAAGTTGATATGTTAGCCAAGAAGAGTATCGAGAAGGAGAATACAGAATATAACTTTGGTGTATCTGTGTCTAGCATTAGGAATAATATTAGGAGAGAAGTAAATAATGAAAATGATTGTTATAGGAATGCAGTTAGAAGCCTGAATAGATCTATAACCCACAATGATAACATGAACGTAGATAAATATGTTTATGGAGCAACTTGCAATGTGACTAGACTGACTGATGTTGTAGTGGCCAGGCTTAGGCTTGGTTACAAGTACTTCTGGCAGTTTGGGAGACACAGATGATGATCAAACTAAATGCAAATTATGTGATCAGGCACATGGTCACTGTCTTGAACACTATGTGCTTAATTGTCCACTTATTGAAGAATACAGAGACAGACAGTATAATAACCTATGTGACATGTCAAGATATCTTATTAATGAAAATTAGATACCAGATATAATAAGCAAATTTCCTAAATTTGCTTGTAACAGATAAGTGAACTGTAGATATGTAGATATAAATCCATATGTACACCTGTTAACCCTTTTGGAGCCTAGTTCCTAGGCCTTTTGTGTATCCATATGCTCTTGAGCTACCGTCCACAGGATGGATATGGGGTGACACTTCGGTGGTAAAATCTAAAAATCCAATACCTGTCACAGGTTTTAAAACATCAATGTCCCTTCCACCGGGTGCTTTGATTTTAATGGATGGTCTTTGATCTAAGGAATTACTATACTAAATCACCGGGGCTAAACCCGTGCCAAGGAAGTTGAGCTACATTGGCATCTTTGGATCAAACCTGATTGCCTTCCCCCAGTGTAATAGTAATAATAATAAAAATAATTGTTTTTACAGGCTGGGAGCTGTTAACCAACCTCAGCGTATTTTAAAGGCCAAGGTTAAGGTATACTGTCATTCCCTGGAATGTGACTCACAACAGTCGGCTAACACTCAGGTACCTACTTACTGCTAGGTGAACAGGGACAGCAGGTGTAAGAAAAATGAACAACGTATCCACCTGTACTGGGGATCGAACCAGGGACCCTCAGTATGTGAACTGAATGCTCTACCAACCAGCCCACATAGCTGCAATATTTTCTTTACTATATATTGAACTTTTGGCATATCTTTCAGGTATTTCCTGACTAGAAAATATTTCCTGTAGATGGAATATTCGGAATTCCAAGTATTCTTGTGAGTAATAATACATTTAGCACGTTTGCGTTTTATATATACTCTATAAGAGACTGTGATGAAGGCAGCAGAAGTTCACTCAGTGTAAGACACACATCACTCTCATGGACATAACCCCATTTCCTGATTAATAATAATTTTAGTAATAACTAGGTGTATTTCGGTAGCTGGGCGGTCAGAGAATTATGGGGAGCCCTAAACCCGTAGGGGTTATATAGGGTTTGTGGGAGTGAGTAGGGGGGATAGAAAGCATTCAAACTTAATTAAGGGAATTGGAGCACAGATCCAATTCCCTAGATCAAGAGCCCCTCACCAGAATCAAGGAACCTCCCTTGAGTGGCACAATCAGAGAGAGATAGAGACGTAGCTGCTTTCTGTCAGCAAAAACCTTGTTTTAGGTTTTACTGGTCATTTTTTCCCATGACTTGCCACTGGTCGTGATACATTGTATAATTCATAATGACATAAATTACCTCAGTCCCATCCAACCAAAACAATTATATTCAGTTACATAAATTTTTAATATGCATTTTAGTTTAAGTATGCACTAAAATTAACCTAGTAATTTAACCTAATCATGCTAAAATTTTCGTAATATAAAATAGTTTACTTCAAAAAAGTTTCATTACTTTTGTTAAATATTTCCCTTAGGGGATGGAATCTTAGTTATTAATTTACACTAGCTTAACACCTGCTTGAGTGAGCACGGTGATGGGTTTGAACCTAACACCTGCTTCAGAGAGTAAGCAAGTGCAGTGATAGACATACCCAACACATTAACCTACTTTAATACCTGCTTGAGAATGTGTGCAAGCGCAGGAAAAACAGGCTTTAACCTAACACACTAACCTAACACCTATTTGAGCGATTCAATGAGGAAGCGTGTCACACCTGCCTAGGTACTCACGTGGGTTTGTTTACATTACCTGGAGGTGATCGCGTATGCTTCATTAAGATAAGAGGTCACCAACACACTAACCCCATTGTGCGGAGCTGGCTCCGCTATTCACACATTTTCTCCCCTCCTCTCTCTCTCTCTCTCTCTCTCTCTCTCTCTCTGTGTGGCAAAGGTTTTTAAGGGTTAGGTTATGAATTCTACCTATTTTACAAGCTGAGTGCTACTACCAGCCTTAGTTCATTTAAAAGGATTCTCTAGAATTATCTTCACAAAGTATTTATTGTTATGAAACGCACAAACAGGGAACAGGCAGAAGTTAAGAGTCATCTGTGGGCCAGAGATTTTAGTCAATACTGATTTATTAATGTTTGTATGTTATACGAACATCTTCCAGACTAATCATTTGAGGAATAAATGATCGCTGATGAACTGATGCTCTTGAGAATAATATAGTTTTATCGCGATTGCTGCCTTCTTTCCGCTCGCGAAGCTCAACTAAGTGTGAAAAGCGGGATAAAATTTGTCAATGCATAAACAAAGCCACCCACATCTCTCAGGTATTGAAGATTCTACTGAAATGTTACTCATTCAGGCCGGGTTCAGGCGAGACATGGGACAAGTACTCTAAGAAAGGGGTACAACATCTATAGTCCAAGTAAAGTACATCTAAAACGATACACAAATAACCCGCACATAGAAGAGAGGAGCTTACGACGACGTTTCGGTCCGACTTGGACCATTTACAAAGTCACACTAACCAGAAGTGTGATCTGGTGCTAGAGGTGATGGTGACCCTCATCTTCACTGTGTTGGTCTGGTGCTAGAGGTGATGGTGACCCTCATCTTCACTGTGTTGGTCTGGTGCTAGAGGTGATGGTGACCCTCATCTTCACTGTGTTGGTCTGGTGCTAGAGGTGATGGTGACCCTCATCTTCACTGTGTTGGTCTGGTGCTACAGGTGATGGTGACCCTCATCTTCACTGTGTTGGTCTGGTGCTAGAGGTGATGGTGACCCTCATCTTCACTGTGTTGGTCTGGTGCTAGAGGTGATGGTGACCCTCATCTTCACTGTGTTGGTCTGGTGCTAGAGGTGATGGTGACCCTCATCTTCGCTGTGTTGGTCTGGTGCTACAGGTGATGGTGACCCTCATCTTCACTGGGTCACAACACACTCAAGCTGCAACTTTCTCCTCGTTTTGTAACGTTGTTGTTTTGCAGCTTGTATCGCTTTCGCTTGTTCGCAATTATTGCATTAGTATATATATATATATATATATATATATATATATATATATATATATATATATATATATATATATATATATGAAGTAGCGACCAGAGAAGAGGCGGGGCTAGGAGCTGTGAATCGACTCCTGCAACCAATATTTAGGCAAGCACACACACACACACACACACACAAGAGCATATAGGTAACAGGTGTACCGTCACTCTGACTCCCCTTAGCCTTATCCCCTCCCCCCCCTCTCCCCCTCACTCAAAAAACAGACCGCTGAGAGATTATCCTCAGTAAGTCGCCCAAGTTAGGTCTGGCTAACTCTTCCTTCCAGACGCAGGATAATGCGGTTAATGGCCTCTTACAAGGTGACTGAGGTAAGAGCAGGTTATAGCTATTCAAGAGCAAAAGAGGTACAATATCGTGCCTTTTTTGCACATAGGAGAAAGGAGCTTACAACGACGTTTCGGTCCGTCTTGGATCATGTACAAAGTCACACGCTGCTGCTAGTCGACTCTTCCACGGAGTTGCCTTAATGCTGGTTAAGGGATTGCAATCCGAGGAATTAGAGCTACTCTTCCTCGAATGACACGTATGATCCTCCACTATCATGTGATGTTCGTGGTGTTTCGTCTATAATGTGTTGTAACAGCGCCTCGTGGTACAGCATCTCAAATTAATTGATTTATATATTAATTTTTGTAGTCATAACGGTAGACATTACTTCTGCCGTTTATACTTTGTCAAATTTATGTAGATACATATCTACAACACTTAGGAATCATTATTGTCTAAATGTATCGTCTGTACAACAGGCTTCTTCAGTCGAATATAGGTGAATTAATCACTGGAAACAGAAGTATTGAGGTGATCCGTCCGTTTCTCTGGATGACACAGATGGTCAGTCCCACAATCCTACTCATGTGTCTTATTTATCAACTTGTCGGTACTGAATACCATTAATATGATAATTATGTACATATATGATCATAAGTGTTTATTTTTAAGACAGGCTTCTCAAACACACCTGCTGAGTTAACACACGAGATAAATGAATGACCATATTGCTTTTATCTTCATCTGAAAAAAACTTTTGAGATTTCAAGAAAAACTGATCTTAAATATGCAAAATTTCAGTGAAATCACTGACAAACTACTAAAATAAGATAAGATTTCTTGAAAGAAAAACATGAAGAATGATAGTGCGGAAAAGTAATGTGAAGGACCTGGGAGTGATAATGTCAGAGGATCTCAGTTCAAAGACCACAACAATGTATCTACCTCATCCGCTAGGAAAATGATAGGATGGATAATGAGAACCTTCAAAACTAGGGACGCCAAGCCCATGATGATTCTC